CCCCCCCCAAAAAAAAAAAATCTGTCATGATAACTCCACATATCTGTGATGACTGAGGTGACGAGTAGCCCTGGAGCACGGCCTGCTCCACCACGGGCAGCAGCCAGAGCTCCCGGAAGCTCTGAGAGCACAGTGGTCCCTGGTGGTAACCAGATTGCCTGGAATTAATGCAGTAGAAGCTGCAGTACAGGACGGAAATTCAAGCTGTTTGACAGTGGAGTGAGGGCATTAGTTTGAGGGACAGCCAGAATAAATGGGAACTTCATTAATCGTGGATTATGCACTTGGAACTCAGGTCCCATGCAACTCTCATATTAGTAATTTGGCCAGCGGGCTCATCAAGCTCTTAAGAAAAGTGAGTCTAGTTAATGAATTAATACAAGATGACATTTTACACACAGAGCAGAAAAGAGACCAGGCACCCCTGAGTCATCTAACATCATAATTTCTCGAGCGAATGTGATCACCGATTCTCGCCTGCAAGCATTTTACATTCCATTCATTAAGAGCTCCCTCTTGGATTCTTAAAACCTCAGGTGGTTACATGGAAGTCAGTGTTTTAAAATCTCTGGACCCATTTGTTTTCCATGTGAAAATTCCATCCACATTTTTCAAGGAGTACATCTCGCTGGAAAGGAACTCATTCGGTTCTTATCCTCTATCCAACTCTACCTCCCAAAAAGGGATCCTCCCAACCTCTCCCTCTGGCCCAGAGGATAAAGGAAAGAATGTGACACTAAGAATTCGCATCCTTAGTTCGGGATGATGAAAAATCCTGGAGGTGGAAAGCGGTGGTGGTTCCACAGCAATGTGAATATACTTCATGCTGCTGAGCTGCTCACCTAAAACTGCTTAAAATTGCAAACGTTATGTTGCGTATGTATTTTACCACAACAAAAAAAGAAAAGGGAATCCTTGTGTACTGTCGGTGGGAACACAAGTCGGTACAGTCACTGTGGAAAACAATATGGAGGCCCCTCAAATATTTAAAAATAGAAAAACCATGTGGTCCAGCAATTCCACTTCTGGGTATTTATCCGAAGAAAACAAAAACACTAGTTCAAAAAGATAGACGCACCCCCTATGTTCACTGAAGCACTATTTACAGTAGCCAAGATATGGAAACAACCCATTGACAGATGAAAGAATGGATAAAGAAGATATGGTATATGTGTGTACACACACACACACACACACACACACACACACACAGGAATATTGCTCAGCCATTAAAAAAGATGAAATCTCGCCACTTGCTACAACATGGATGGGTACTGTGCTAAGTGAGATATCAGATGGAGAAAGACAAATACTGTATGATTTCACTCATATGTGGAATATCAAATACAAGCAAACAAAATAAGTGAACAGACCAAACCAAACAAAATATGTAGATGCAGAGAACAGAGTAGTGGTTACCAGAGGCGTGGGGCTGTGGGAGGAGGGCAAATAGGTAAAGGGGAGCAACCAGATGGTGACAGGTGGAAACAATTTTTGGTGGTGAGCACACTGTAGTGTATGTAGAAGGCGAAATACAATGTTGTACACATGGAACATACATAGTGTTATAAACCAGTGTTACCGCAATAAAAGAAATAGAAACAAAGGAAGGAAGGTAGGATGGGAGGGAAGGAGGGAGGAACAGCATTAACTGAGTACAGACCCTCGCCAGGCACTTTGCTCTCAGCACTTGGTGTGTAGGTTGTATTTTACGCTGCCAATAATCCAAGGAGATAGCTACTGCTATTTATGCAGCACCACTGCCATTTTAAAGATGAGGCAACATTGGGGCTTCCCTCCCTGGTGGTGCAGTGGTTGAGAGTCCACCTGCCGATGCAGGGGACGCGGGTTCGTGTCCCGGTCTGGGAAGATCCCATGTGCCGCGGAGCGGCTGGGCCCGTGAGCCATGGCCGCTGAGCCTGCGCGTCTGGAGCCTGTGCTCCGCAACGGGAGAGGCCACAACAGTGAGAGGCCCAAAGTTAAATAACTTGCTTGAGTAGCAGCTAGCAGTGATGGCCCCAGAATTCGACCCTTCAGCTCTGTGCTAGAGATGAAATAAAGAGGCTCTTCTATTTTAGGCCTGAAATCTGAAAAACACACACACACACACACACACACACACACACACACACACACACACACACACACACACACACACACACACACACACAGGCTCCCACCCAGCTTTTAATTATCTAAGCTGAGAGCAGACAGAACTCCCGCAGAACCTCTGGGTGGCAGCTCGTTGTCTCCAGAAAACTCCAGAGCTGCCTTTCTCCCGTAACCGTCTACAGCACGCTTCTGCCTCTCCTCTGGCATCTTGCTTGCTTCTTTCTATACAGTTCATCACTGAAACAGTGACTGACAAGAACTTGGAGAATCTTCATAGCCTTTAGTCCATGTCTGAGTGTGACTGGAACGAAAATGAACACAGCCTGGGGCTTGAGGGGGGAGGTCTTTCTTTGTGTCAGATTAGGATGATGTGGGGAATCAGGAACTGTTTGTGTCGGGAAAGGAGGGGAGATGGTGTGTTGCACGGCACGTGGACTTTTGAAGGAGAAATATCTGGTTCTCGTTCTGACTCCCCTGCTTAGTTCTTTTGTGCACTTAGACAACTTAATTCACCTCTGAGTCAATTTGCTCATCTGAAAAACAGGAATAATAAACTAATAATAGCACCTACCTTACCAGGGTGTGTGAATACACAGATTTTTTTCGTTGAGTTGGATGCATTTATTGGGTGTCGACCCTGTGCCAGACACCATCCTACTCACTGGAGATCCATGATGAACAGAGCATGTGCGATCTAGTGATGAGGGGCCCAGGACCCAAGCAGCCAGCGGATGGTGCTGCCACTTCACGTCTACACACTGGCCGCTGTGAACCCACTAAAGCCTCTTCACTGTTTCAGAGGTTGAACGGGCACAGGGTGTGGTCGCAGACTTGCTCACTTAGGATGCATTTAGATTATTTTTGCAGCTGGGCCGCAGCTGTGGGTAGTTGTGGATCTTCCGCAAAGAAGAGGGGTCCCCAACTTTCTACGAGGAGGGGCCACTCTGGTGTCCTGTGCCAGCCTGGGCCTGGCCACCATTGCCAGGTGTGTTCTGCTGACGGGGAAGCCTCTCCCCTGAGTGTTTGAAGTGTGGCTCCTTAGTACACGTGGAGAGGAGGGGACTGGCAGCCTGCAGGTCTGGGGTGTGTACCAGGCCTTCGTCCTAGGGCCTCTGAGGAAATGTGTGCCAGTTGCCTAGCTGGTCTTGGTAGGGGGCTGCAGGGCGGAGTGTCAGAGGCAAGGCTCTGAATTCAGACCACAGGGCTCAAATCAGGCACAGCCCCTTACCTCCTAACCCTGTGACCCTGGTCAAGGGACCCAAGCTCTCCAAGCTTCCCTTTCTTCATCTTAAAAAGAAGGCAGTTACAGCACCTACTTCGTGGAGTTGCTGTGAGACAAGTAGCTGTGGTAAAACGCATATTTGTATGTCTTGAACACCCTCAGTGTGTCAGCTGTTGTTCTAAGTGCTTGATAATTATTCACTCATTTCATGCTCACGACAGCCCAGTGAGGTGGGGACTAATACCACCCCCATTTGACAGATGAGGAAATTACAGCACAGAGAGGTTGACCACTTCCCAGAGGGCACACAGCCAGTCAGCTGAATAGCTTGAGTTTGAACCTGGTCTGGCTCCAGAGTCCATGATTTCAGCCTGTGTTCTGCTGGCTCTCCATCTTGAAAGCTTGGCAAAGGCCGGGCATTAAATACTTTGCCGACATAAGGAACCCCAGACACACTGGCCAGTGTTCCTCACGTATGTGATATGATAAATTTCCAGAGAAAAACTGATTTCTGTCACCGGAACTATCACTCCTGTTCCCTGGATATTATATTTCCTGGGGCTGATTTTTTTAAACAACTTTATTGAGGTATAATTTACATGACATAAAATTTGCCCGTTTTAACTGTACAACTCAATGAGTTTTAGTAAATTTGCGCAGCCATCACCACATCCAGTTTTAGAACATTCCCATCACCCCAGCAAGATCCCTGATGCCCACCACCAGTGAATCCCCATTCCCACCCCCAGCCCCTGGCAACCATTAATCGACTTTTTGTCTCTATAAATTTGCCTTTCCTGGGCACATATAAATGGAATCGTACACCATGTGGTCTCTTGTGTCTGGCTTATCTTTTTTTTTTTTTTTTTTTCCCAGGCTTATCTTGTACACCTCAGTGTTCTTACATTGCTGTTCTTTTCTGTTCCTCAGCAAGCTTCTCAGAGAGTTGTTCTCCACAGCCCTGAGTTTGAGGATGCTCTCTGTGCCCTGATGGTGATGGCTGCTCCCACGAGCCCGTGTCCCCTGCATCGGCAGGCGGACTCTCAACCACTGCGCCACCAGGGAAGCCCTGTCTGGCTTATCTTGCTTAGCACGTTTTTTTTTTTAAACGTACTTTGAATTTTATTTATTTATTTAGTTTTGGCTGTGCTGGGTCTTCGTTTCTGTGCGAGGACTTTCTCTAGTTGCAGCAAGTGGGGGCCGTCTTCATCGCGGTGCGCGGGCCTCTCACTATCGCGGCCTCTCTTGTTGCGGAGCACAGGCTCCAGACGCGCAGGCTCAGTAGTTGTGGCTCACGGGCCTAGTTGCTCTGCGGCATGTGGGATCCTCCCAGACCAGGGCTCGAACCCGCGTACCCTGCATTGGCAGGCAGACTCTCAACCACTGTGCCACCAGGGAAGCCCGCTTAGCACGTTTTTGAGGCTCATCCATGTTGTAGCATGCACCATTACTTTTTATGGCCAGATTATATTCCGTTGTATGGGCAGCCCACATTTTGTTTATCCATTCACCGATCCATGGACATTGGGGTGCTTTCCACTTTGCGGCTATCGTGAACCGTGCTCCTGTGAACGTCTGCGTTCCCGTCCTGGGACTGACTTCGCGGCAGATGGGTGCGCCGACTTGGTAACCTCTCTCCTTTTCTCTCGCCTCTGGGGCTTCTCAGAACCAGGCAGCGGGCAGGTGTTCGTGACCTCGGAGAACCAGCTCGTGTACTATCCCAGCATCACCTATGCCATCATCGGCAGCTCCGTCATCTTTGTGCTGGTCGTGGCCCTGCTGGCTCTGGTCCTGCACCACCAGCGGAAGCGCAACAATCTCATGACGCTGCCAGTGCACCGGCTGCAGCACCCCGTGCTGCTCTCCCGCCTGGTGGTCCTGGACCACCCTCACCGCTGCAACGTCACCTACAACGTCAACAATGGCATCCAGTACGTGGCCAGCCAAGCCGAGCAGAACGCGTCTGAAGTGGGCTCCCCGCCCTCCTACTCAGAGGCCCTGCTGGACCAAAGGTGCGTGCTGGGAGAGACTCGGGGAGGGAGGTCATCCCACGCAGGGGCGGGCATACATGTGCACGTGCCTGGGATCCTGGTCTTGCCAGGAGCCTGCATTCAGCTGCAAAGGCGGCGGCAGCTTTTGACTTCTACTGAGTCTTTGCAAAACGATTCATGTGTATCATCGCATTCAGTCCTCACAGCCACTCACCGAGGGAGGTTCTATATGTGCCTCAGTTTTACAGACGAGAAAACTGAGATTTTTAAGTTACTCATCTGAAGACATACCGCTAGGATCCTGGCCAGTTCAGATCCCTCCTCCTCCCTGGTAATGCCACACGGACACACGTCCAGGACTCTGACCAGCTCTGGACACTCACCTGCTACCGCAGAACAGAGCCCAATATATACTCGAGGTTTGGTTCCTATTTGAATGAATGAATGGGTGAGTGAGTGAGTGAATGAATGAGTGAATAAGTTCCTTAACTTTGCTTGGCTTCATCTATAAAATAAAGGAGGTGGCATAGAGAACTCTCAGCTTTGTTAAGCAGTAGAACCTTCATCACAGGTGGAGCTGTACAAGGACCCCCAAAATATAAAGTTAAAACCCAGAGTTCTGTAGTTGGAGCCAGTAGTGGACCTCATTCCTGCCTGCTCAGCCTTCCTCTCTCCTTTGGTGACCTCCAAGGTACCCAAAGAACCCACTTTGAAGTCCCGGGACTAGAGCTACCTGAGTCCCCCTTGGTTCTCAGCATCCCCTGCCCTGCAGGGACCCTGCTCAGCGTTCCTCTTCCACTGAGCCCAGGACTCACCAGGTGTGGCACGAGGCATTTTGCAGGCAGTGTTCCTGGGCTAACTGGGCTCTTCCTTGAACCCTCTCTGGTGGCAGCTCTTGTATTATTTAATCTTCCTTTTCCTTCCTCATAAAAGATAAACAAAGCTGCAAGGAGCAGTGATTAAGGACATCTTCGCAAATAAGCGTAAGAACACAAGACCTCACTCATTTGGACCACCCATTGTAGAGCAAGGTTAAAACTGCTGCATCTGGAGACAGAATTCCTGGGTTCAAATCCTAGCACTGCTGCTTACTAGTTGTTCGTGATCCTGTGCAAGCCATTTAACGCCCCTTTGCCTCAGTTTTCTCCCCAGTACAATGGGCATGAAAGTAATGACTCTCTCCTAGAATTCTTGTGAGCATTAAATAAGGGATGTAAGGTAGGTGGCGCAGTGCCTGACTCGTAGTAAGCCTTCCATAAATGAGAGCTGGAAAATAAAATGTCTTTTAAGTTATTTCACTGTAAGCAAGGTGTCATTATTACTCCCTTATATAGATAGGGAGACTGAGGGTTTGAGAGGATATCCTCTCACCCAAGTCCGCACAGCCGGGAAGAGTTGGCTTTCAGTAAGGGCCCCCAGTTCTGTGGACTGTCAGGGGCTCTGTCAAAACACCAGACCAGGTGAATCCCTGCCAAACCCCCCAGGATGAGCCGGGGAGTATTTAGAATTCTCCCTACCAAAGGTTGTGGTTTTGGCACTGTCCAGTTGGCACAAGCCAGGCAGAGCACGCTGACCTGTTCCTTTCGTCTTCTTACAAATCACTGGTTTTCCTAGTCCTTGGGTTGCCTTTCTCCTTGGAAGGAAAATCTCATTCCCGATGTCAGCATCCGCTCGGAAAAGGGCAGAAGTTGGCATTGCCTGCCGTGCCTGGGCTCCTAATGTTTTCTCTTCCCCCTCCTCTCCCCCCTTCCCCCCACCCCGCCCCATCCTGCTCTCTCCATCGCAGACCCGCATGGTATGACCTCCCTCCGCCGCCCTACTCTTCGGACACCGAGTCTCTGAACCAAGCCGACCTGCCCCCTTACCGCTCCCGGTCTGGCAGCGCCAACAGCACCAGTTCCCAGGCAGCCAGCAGCCTCCTGAGTATGGAAGACACGGGCCACAGGCCGGGGCAGCCTGGCCCACAAGAAGGCACCACGGAGCCTAGGGACTCTGCACCCAGCCAGGGCACCGAAGAAGTATAAAATCCAGCTCTTCCAAAGTCCATATGGGTTCATCTGCTCTGACTTGTTACCATCCTAACAACTTGCGCTCATGGGAAGCTCCCCAGGATGCCCCAAGGAGTGATGTGGGGTGTCAGCTCTCTCTCCGTTCACCTCCTTCCCCAGATTTCAGGGATGTTCTTTGGAGGGCGAGCTGGCACTGTCTGGCCTCTCAGTTGCCCTGATGTATGTGCATCTTTTCTGGGCAGTTACTCTTCCTTCGGGGCCCAGGATCACAGCCTCACTCTCCGCATCATTCTGTTACTGCTGGAACCTTGCTGAGTAGGTGGCCGGAGAGTGCGGTACTTAGGTAGCCCTGGGGAAAGCAGTGTTTGTGCCGTATGGGGTGTTCAGAAGGGCAGAGGACACTGGACCAAATTCTCTGTGGGCTGCTTCCTTAGAGCTCCATTTGGAGATTTGGGTTGGATGGTCCTACCAGGAGGCTGTCATTGGATGGCCACTCTGGAGAGAATCCAGGGGAGCATCAGAACCCGCCTTGCACTAGGCTGTTCATTGCTCTGGGTCGGGGCCAAAGAACACTGTTGCCGTGAGTCACGCCCTTCAGAAGTCAGCAGTGTCATGTTGGTTTTCTGAAGGACTCTGAAACCATCAGGTCCGGATAGAGTCTGGATTTAAAAATTTGTCCGAGAATCCTCGTTTTGAGAGCTTTCTCCAGGATCATATATCATCAGCCTCATTCCAGAACAGGCAGGGAGCCCTACCGTGAGTTTATCTGAGTTCTCAGCTCCTAAAGTACAGGCTGCCAAGATCCTGGGTCTGCTTTGGTCCACAGTCCTTTCCCTGGTTTCTGGATTGTCTCCCTCCCAGCTGTGACCTGCCCGTAAAACAAGGGATGAGTACTAAACCCGAGTTGCCCAGAAATCTGATCTGGCCCTTTGTCCCTGTAAGCCACACGCAGCCTGCCTTTGCCCATTCATGCAGCTTCAACACTCGCCCCCTAAGTCCCCCTGACACTCAGAAGTCATTTTACCTGTGCATTTGGACTTGAGAACACTGTAGGTTCTAACTCAACGTGAGAACCTAATTCAGTACCTCCCCTGAGAGAGCCTGGATTCCTGGACTGCACTCACCCCCCTTCCCAAGGCGCAGATTCCAGTGCTGAAATTTAGGGTTAGGGCTGGAATCAGAGTGAGGCTCAGGCCTCACTCCGAGCGTCCCATAGTTTCTCCTCTGAGACACATGGATAATAGTTTGGAGTCAAGATTTGCCATTTGGACTTTTTTTTTTTTTTTTAAATCTCTTAGAAATGCATTTGAAACAGTGTGTTTGTTTTTTCCCTTCTGGTTAAGGGACTATTTATATGTGTATAGGAAAGCTGTCTTTTGTTTGTTTGTTTTTCCATTAGTGAGGTCCAAGCAAAGATGCAAAAGGAGATCGTTCCTTTGTCCCGCTGAGCACGCTGGTAAGTCCCCCCAGACTGACCTGTGTGCCAGGCGTCTGTGCATTGTTGCACTTTGAGTTATTATTTATCGAGTTCTTGAAGGACGCAGAAAGAGGGACGCCTTTCTCCCTCAGCTCATAGGCTCTGTGTTTATGGTAGCTTTCCTCTTTCTCTGTGCCCAGCCAGCCACAGTGCCAACCCCCTCAGGAAGTCGTGGGTGGAAACGTAGATGTTATTTGTCAAGAAACCACACTAATGGCTGTGGGGGAACAAAACTGGAACCAAGTGGAGCCACTCCGGGCAGCTGTCACCCATGCAGAGCTGCTTTCCACGTGGTCAGTAACCTCTTTGATGCTTATTCAAACGGAGCCTGCAGGAGGGGGGATGAAGTGGCATTCAATGATCCTATTCTGTAGACTTTTTTTTTTTAACCAAATTCAAAGTGTGTTACAGGAAAGCTAGCCACTTGGTGATTTTTTTTTTTTAAGTTAAGAAAAGGAACATAGTTGCCTACATCTTTCATTTTTAAAATAACGTGAGTTATTTTCTGAGTAATCCAGTGAAGAAAGAACTTTTGGTGGCAGCCAGAGTATGTGAGGAACTCTAGCTGAATATTTCATCTCCTGTGGGCCAGAGTGGCTTCTTTCCTCCCTCTGGTGGCCCCTGCTTCTTTCTGGTGCTCTGGAAGTTGTTTAGAGGAAAGGATTCTAATTTTAATTAATCATGTGGTGAATTAATCTCACGCGCTTTTCAGCTTCCAGGCATCTTAGGAAAGACAAATGGCCTTAGTAGCATAAGGAGAGCCTATTAATGTTGTTTTTTAAAACAAACACAGGGATGTTTTTCTTATAGATTTGATTTTTTTAAATGGCTGTTTTTAAAAAGATATAAATAGGACACCAAAACTGCAGGGGTTTTTTGTTTTGTGTTTTTCCCCTACTCAAAATAGCAAATAAGTGGCCAGCATTATTTTTTAACTCATTTCAACAAGGATGTTTTTGTATACATGGCCTAAATCTATGCCAATCAGAAAACCATCCCTGCTCTCTTTTCTCAAATGAGATCAGTGAGTCCTTTTTATTTTAGCGTTAAGATCGTTCAGCTGTGATCACTATCACCTGCTCTCTTCTCCTTCCGCTTTGAAATTGACATTTTAAAAGAATGCAAGCAAGCGGCAAATAAATCAGTGTGTGACATTCAAAGTTGATGTAAACTGGAAAGGTTGTGTGTGGTTGTTTTTTGATTAGGTTTTTTTTTTTTTAATTTTATACTTTCAAATAAACTTGCAGTTTCATTCTTTCTGTTGGTGTGAATGGTCCTTAACCCCTATTCTTCTCTGTGGCGTTATAAAGAGTGGACAGCCACTTCTGTCGTGGCTTCTGCAATGAATGTATGCCCTAATAAATTGAGAAAAGGTGAGAGAATATTGATGGGACCTCAAAATATGGTGGGCATTTAAGGATTCCACATTTGGTGTGGTTGGAATACAGAGGTAAGTATTCCATGGACACCAGTTCGTATCAAGGGCCCTGGGATGTCAGTTCAGAATATGGGCATTAACTATGCCCTCTGTGCCCATAGTGACTTCACTGTGGCACTGCTTGAAGGAAAGGAGCAAGTGGCTGTGATAGCTGGAACAGATTCTGACCACATATTCAGGGGCACACGCTCTAACTCAGGCACAGGTATGTTGGTAATTGGTTTTGAACCACAAATGGCTCCCATTCATCCCACCAGTGATGGGAGCATCTTTGTGCTCTTACAAGTCTCGTTTTACACTGCAGGGACAGTTGCACAGGAAGTCAGCATGCCCAGGAGGTCACCACCACCACCACCCATGAACAAAAATAACCTTGGCCTTGACCAAAATTAAAATCTACATGGGAATCAAAACATAGAACCTACAGAACCAAGATGTAGATCATGTACTGGTACCCAGATATGTCAAAATGAAGACTAGGCTATCAGATAGTGGTGTCCCAAGTATATACCAGGTCATGTCCTGCCCCAAGTGGTCTAGAGTAGTCTTTACCAAACAACATGCCCAAAGGCTTGTCAAGATGTTAATTCCTTTTTCTCTCAGAGTACCATTTTTTGTGGTGCTAGGATGAGGAAACAATCAAGAAATGCTAATCTAGAGCAGAGATCAGTAAACTTTTTGTGTAAAGGGTCTGATAATAAATAATTTTTGGCTTTGCAGCCATATGGTTTCTGTAGCAACTACGAAAACCGCCATGGACAATACATAAATGCATGGGTGTGCCTGTGTTCCAATAACTACCAAAATGGGCTGGATCCGGCTTTGTCATTTGCCAACCCCTGGCCTAAAGGGTCATTCCCACATTGTGCTCGTGGGTCTGAAGCTAAGGGCATTGTAGAAAAGAAACGGTGTGTTAATGGCTGGCCTGGAATATTGGAACCCTTAAAATGGCACCAACTTCCAAAAAGTTAAAAATGGAAGAACTTAGGAAGCAGGCAGTTCAAGGACCTGTGAAATTCATTTTAACTGACCCTATTAGCTCTTTTCCAGTGAATAAGGAAATACAGGGTTACGATGAGTAGAGGCTTTCCCAGCGAGGGAGTTCATCAAACAGTGGTGAGTCATCAAACAGTGGTGAGTGGTGAGGGGTGAGTCATCAAACCGTGGGTTGAATGCAAAAGTCTTGTTCAAAAAACTGCTCTCAGTAGGGATTCTCTAAGGTGATAAAGTAACACAACAGTCTGCCTTTTAGAGAAAAGGTCATGGGGATAAATGATCTGGGAGATATTGTTCATCTTCTCCATTTAACTTGCTATCCTCAGGCAAGGCAGTAGATTCAAAGAATGAACTGTATAAGAAAGAAGGAGCTCCTGATGACTGCAGTGGATGTGTGATACATGTCCATAAGGAAAAGAAACGTATCCAGTAAGAAAATATGCAGACTCCCTTGAGTGAATGGGAACATTAATAGAACCCCCAATTGTTAAGTGATGGTTGTAAGGAATCCCACTCATGCAAGCTGAATGTGTTAAATTTTAGAAGATGTATTGGATAATGCAACTGCGTTCAAGGGTATGGAAAATGATTTGGGGCAGGGCTGGATCCAGTTGATCAACAGCTGTCATTAGGAACCTGTTTTGCCCCCTCCAGCTTCTGAGTCCTGCTTTACCTGTGTAAAGCGATGACTTCATGGCTTTACAAAATGTGGTGGAAAAGAGGGTCCCAGAAGATCCAGGTTCATGACCTAAGAAAACGAGATTCTCTCTGAGAACCAGTGGAGATTGACTATGATTGGTCATCGTTGGTCCTGTGACCACTATTGTAGGTGGGAACTCTTGATTGATTGACAGCCCCACCAGAGTTACATGGAGCAGGAGAGGGGCAGTTCTCATATGGAAGGGTCTGGCAGTATAGAGCCTCACCAAGGAATAGGACCCACAGCTGGCTGGCACAATTTCTAATATACATAAGAAGATATCCTGCAACCACAAGCTTTAGGCAACATAGCCAGGTCTGAAAGCAGACGCAATGTTACAGTCAAAATGTCAGGAGACTCAACAGCCCTTCCTTAAACCTAGATGGCAAGGTCAGTTTCAAGCTGCAAGCATTTGGGGCTTGGGTTAGGTGTGCTTTTTATGAGATGGTCATTGAGGGTAGGTCACAGTAACATGGATAAAGCCATAGAAGAGGAATTCTACCTTGAAACCTGAACTCACTCGTGGGTTCTAGAACTGTCCCTAAACCACTGAAAGTATTGAAATGGGTGAATTACCCACCAAGAGTCGCCCCCAACCCACATAGGATTTTTAAGTTGATGGATCGGAGATGCATTCCTATCTATCACCCTTGTCAAGCTACCCAAAGACTTTGATTCATCTATGCATG